CCTTCCACCCGTCCTTTTTCTCCCACGTCCCTGAAAGTCAGGCAGGACACCAGAAGATGTTTAGGAGCGAAGTCCCCCTTGTATCTCCATCTTGAATTGTTGGATGGGAGGAGTGAGGTCCTTGTTCTGGGTGATTCTGCCTCTTCTCCCAACACACTGTTTCTAGATTCCTGTGTCTGGGGACTCTGTAGTGCCCTTATGGAGCCCTTGAAATTCAATGGTATACTTGTGTATGTATACACAGCTGTAGGGGATGGGTCCTTTTATGGTCCCTGAAAAGTGCCCTGTGTGCCTGCTGTATTTTTCAGCAGTGCCCTAGCACTCCGAAACTCAGCTCTGGTGGGATCCTGTGACACCCAGGCTCTGGTGCTTCTCCTGAGGCAACTGCTGAGAATAAAAGCTAGAAAGTGTCTCTGCACCTTAAAGAGTGTTTTCTAGAGCGGGGCGCAGAATCACTGGTGATGGTGATGAGGGTGCTTGTTTAAGTTTCAGAATCCCGAGTCCATCCAGGTTGAAAGCCCCGAATGACAGGGTCCAGCCCAGTGCGTTTTTTTAGTGGGCTCTCCAGGGGACTCTCATGCATGATGATGCAGTGCTGCCCAAAGTGTGGTCTGTAGTCAAGCAGCATTTGGGGCCCTTTCCCAGACTTAGTGATTCAGACACTATGGGGGAGGGACCCGGCAATCTGATGTTAACAAGTCCAGCAGGTTAACAAGTCCATTGTTTTGCAGACTGAAGTTTGAGAAACACCAGTTTACCAGGGAAGGCCATAGCTGGATGAAATCGGTGTACAGCTGCAGGTAGAAGGGCCCAGTGAGGAAGGAAGGGTGGTGTTTGTGCTGCAACAGCCCCAGAAGAGGCAGGACCAGAGGCCCCAAGTTCCCTCAAGGCTACTTTCTAAGAATTGGATCAACCCGGAAAGGCCAGCTGCCTGCCCTGAGTCCCGAGTTAGAGTTCTGTGACTAGAGCAGGATGTGCCCTGTTAGAATTGTGTCAGCAATGCGAAGTATTCTCCCCCAGGCACTGTTTTTCTTTGAGATGACAGAAATAAATAGGAGAGTCACAGAAGGTGTGACACTCATGGATGCCAAAGAGAAGGCACTGTCTGCTGGATTGTATCGGACTATGTTCCCTTCTGTGGTGGACAGTGAGTTCAGACAGGCGTTGGGAGGGGAGGGTGAGGGGCCCCTGGAGGCCCTGCCTAGCTCCCTCCTGAGCCAGGGCATGGCAGCCCAGGAGTTCTGGAATGACTTTGCCAATGACTGCAGGCCCTGGTGGTGGCTTCTTTTGAGAAGAAGGGAAGGCCAAAGTTACACAGAGACTGAAGGATGAGCAGATTTCTTAATTTTCAGAAAAGTGGGGAAGATTGTAAATGTTGAGTTAGAACCGCATGAGGTTCCCGGAGCCTCTGAGGACAGGCCCTAGATGGGAAGGGAAGAGGCCGGCACTGGGAGCCAAGGTGGTGCGTCCCAAGGTTGCCCCAGGCCCTCCAGCTGGCCTGCTTTTCTCCTGGGAGTTAAATAGGAGGATCTAGGTGTGAGAGATGTGTTAGAACCCTCTTTTGATGGAGGCCCTCCTTACACTGTAGTGAGCGCCATGGGGAAATGTTCGCTGTTTTGTGGTTTAGTTAGGTGGCCAGGTAACTGGTGAGTACCTGTACCCACCGTTGTCTAGCTGAGAACTGGTCAGCAGACACAGTTCAGGAGTGTCTGTCCTTAGCCCTTTCTGTATCGGTGGATGTAAAGTAAAGCTGAGAGAGCACACTGAGATGTTTGCGCTCGCTCAGAATCCCAGGAGATCTCAGTAGGCTGCAGTTCTGGGCAGAAGATAAGGGAGGAACTTAATGGGAATCTGCCTCAGGTCTCCATTACCCAGAATGTCCAAGTGTTACCAGTACAGGGAGGTGGGGAGGAGGAGGAGGGGTGGCCCGGCCCCTGCACCGCACTCCAGACCACATCTGGGGCCTCTGGTTCTGAAGAGATTTGGAGAAAAAGAAGGGGGTGGATTATAGACCTGAAATTATTTCAGGCAGGAAATGGGAAAAAGGACTGTTCTGTTAGGAGGGGAAGACCAGAGGTCTCTTGGGGAGAGGGGGGGACCCAGGGATGAAGGGACTGCTCTTTGGATGCAGGATTAGACCCAGCCTATGGGGCACACTAGGGCCGACTTCATTGCCAGGGGACAGATCCTGACTCTTGCTGGGAACTCTGAAGCCCTGCAAGGAATGAACACAGTCACCCTGGGAGCAGGCTGAGGCTGACCTGTGGTCCTGCCCCAGGCGGGGAACACCCAGGTGGGGAACACCAGTGGTCCAGGCCTGAGTCCCATGGTATATTTATACAATCATGTTCACCTCAGGCTCAGTGAGGGGCTGTCTTGGACTGAATGGACCCTGTGTGTGTTCTACAAATCCTGTGAGAACAGCTCCAGCCTCCAGTGAGCTCAGAAATCCCCACCTGAATTGGGCCTTTTAAAAGTTTTTTAATAGGCAATACTTACATGGCAAAAAATGCAAATGTAAACAGTAAGCTTCATTTCCATCCCTAGTTTTTTTGGTCAAAGGCAGTGAGTATTACCCAGTCTCTTGTTTATTGTTCCAGAGATGGTCTCTGTGCATGTGTATATACACACACACAGACACACACCACTAAGTTTGTATGTTTTGAAAAAATACTAGCTTAGTATTATACCTTGATTAATAATGATTATCATTTCATATATCCATATATAGAGCTGGTTATTCTAAAAATAGCTACAGAGTACCCATTGTATGGTTCCAGTGTGATTTATTTAGGCTCATATTTAGGGGTTTGTTGTAACAAATAATGCTGCAGTCAAATCCATGTGTGGATCATCTCACATAGGTGTGTTTGCAAAATAGAGTTTCTGGGCCAAAGAGTGTGTAATTTTTAATTTTGACATCTCTATATTTTTAATTGGTGATTTTCAGCATGTTAGCTTGAACATCTTTAATATTTAGTTTTCTTTCTATAATCTGTTCATATCATTTAAGTTTTTCTAGTAGTTATTGGTCTTTCTCTTAACAATTTTTTTGAAAAACTTTTTAAGATTTGTCATTTTTCTTGTTTTTATGTTTTCTTTATTTTTTTCTTATGCAGAACTTTAATTTTATGTCTTTGGAGTTTGGGGCCACTTCTTCATTTAAATCTTTGGTCTGACTGACATTTATTTTGGGTGTGGGATAGGGTAGTACCCCACTTTCTTTTTTTCCTCCCTGCCATTGGCTGTGGCTGGGGCCTTTTGCCCTCATTGCTTTGGGAGAAGACAAGAAGTAGACAGGGGTCTTTGATTCCCAAAGTTTCTGTGTAGAGGTAGGCTCCAGAAAGAGGGGCGTTGGGAATATAGCCACAGCTCACCCTGCTCTCTTGCACAGGAGTTCCTCCTCCTCTCGTCAAAAGGTTCCTGAGTCATCCATCATTCAGATGCCCAGGATATCTCCACACCAGTGAGGTCTGAGGGTTCTGGTGGAAGAGTCAGGCTGAGGGCAGGACCTGGAGGGCTTTGTGCTGATTGCTCAATGAATCAGCGTTAGGGCAGCCCCGCTGGGGTCTTGACAATCATACCACAATATACAGGGGTCTTTGGTTCACGCTGAAGGTAGCCAGTTCTACCTCTCTCCAAGGTCACTTGGTCATCATCTGGCCTTCCATTGTTTTGCCTACAGTTAACCTCTGGGCCCACTGACCAAAACAAATGACCTCACCATAGTGCTCAAGAACCAGGCTCACCCTGTGGGGACCTGTGATACCTTAAGGAAGGCCTGTAGTTTCCTTGGAGACGGCATGCCCAGTTCTCCAACATAGCTAAGAAAAGCAACTAGAATATTGTGGGTAGATAGCAGTCTCAAGTGGGGCCTGGACCAGCAGGCAGCATGATGAGGGAACTTGTGAGACATGCAAATTTTGGTTCCACTAACTCAGACTTCTGTAAATGCGAGCCCCACTATTGCTTAACAAGCCTCCCAGGTGGTTCTGGTGCACTGCAGTTTGCGAACCAGTGGTCTGTGCTGGCTTGAGGCCCAGTATACAAGGAGCTGCTCACTTAAGGCCAGCAGGTGTGATTGTTAAGGGGGCCTACCAGTGTCAGCAAGAGTAGGCAGGTTGTGTGACAGCCTGAGTGACTGATGTCACAGCACATCTGCCTCTCTCCTGGGTAGTTTAATTAACATGGGACATGGCAGAGGGGTCTGTTTACAAAGGGACTTTTGAGAGCAAATATCCCATCCAGCACCAGCCCATAAGTGCCCCTGATCCCAGGCCTGTTTGCTTCCCTTGCTGCTGATCTGCAAGTCACTTACCTTTTCTGAGCTCCATCTGCTCCATCTTAGAAACATGATGGTGCTGGCTCACGTGCCTAAGGATCCAGATCCTTAATCAGATGAGCCCTCCCAAAATCCCTTCTTGTTTCTGGGATCAGTAGTTCCATGTTTGGTGTTCCCTTGAAGGATGGATTAGGGGCTGGAGAATGAAAGTGTAGCCTGGGACTGATCCAGTCTGGGGGTCTGCTGTGAGAGTGTGGGGTCTGCAGGTTGGGCACAGGAAGATGGGCTCTGGTCACATGTTGGATGGATGGTGATAAGGACACTGGAGATAAAGACAGACAGACCTGGACCCCTGAGAAGGAGGCAGTGTACTCTCTTGAGGCAGAACGTCTGCTCACACACAGCCTCCCTTGTCAAGAGAGGTGGGAGGGAGCCGAGGGTAAAAGGGGTTTTCAAGGAAACCCACTGCTCCTGGGCGGTGAATCCTACAGTGGTGAGTGTAGGCCTGAGCCTGGCCCTGAAGACCAGCGGCCTGGTTGCTATTTGTAGCTGGAGGCCCTGGCAGGTAGAGTGTAAACTGGTTGCCACACTCCAGCCTGATGCAATTTCTCCTACAGGGGCCTGGCTTGTGGGTATTGCTGTTTTCCCAAGAAGCTGCTGCTGGTAATGCTGATGAGAGCTCCCGGCAGACCCTGAGTGGCTTTTTTCTTCCTTTCAGATCTGACCATGAGCTATCCAGGCTACCCGCCGCCTGCAGGTGGCTACCCCCCAGGTGCACCAGGTAAGAGAGTTGGTGGGGAGGGGTGAGAGATTGCTTTCCCGTCATTTCCTCACTCCCTTTGTCCCCCACAGTGTAGCCAGGTGGGGGTGGGGCAGGTGGCTGGAGGTGGTTGGAGGAGAACATGGACCCTGAGGCCAGGAGAGCCAGGGTTTGAAGCCGTCCTTGGAAGGCCAGGACCAGGTCTCTTAACTTATTAGCTGATAGTAGTGGGCGGTTGCCCTCTCTTCTCTGGCTCAGTTTTCTCCTTTGCAAATGACTTCATGGATCTCTTCCTCACTGGGCTGTCCCAGGTACTAACAAGGTAGCCAGGTAAAGCGTCTGGCATAGATGTCCTTGAAGCACTGTTAGGTGACTTATCATTTCTCCTACCCTGTGCTCAGGGTGCATGGTTTTGCAGTGTCAGGGGGACCTGCACAAAGGAGGAAGTGAAAGCGGTTTCTAACAGTTGGGTGCTCCTTCTTCAGCTGACAGAAGCTGTGTGCTGATAGCCATGAGGATGCACCAGCAGGTTAGGTGCTCAGAGCCTGGCCCTGACCACAATGGTGCTCTTCACACCTGGGCTTCTGAAATGAGATTTGGCCACCGGGGGAGAGGAAACTTGAGAACTCTTGGGACAGGGGGAGGGAAGGGTCATTCCAGACTGATCACCCTGAGCTGCATTGCCCCTCACCCCATGAGACCCTTAGGCACATTTGCTGAGGGCTCCACAGGCTATTTGGACCCACCCTCCCAACTGAGCAGTGAAGAACAGGCCCAGAGCTAGAAGGCAGCTCAGCCACTGGCTTCTCAGGGGTTGACCTGGGCCATTTCGCTTTGAGCAAGCCCTTGTCCAGATTTGCCCGCGCTGGCCTGAGCCCCCTCTCCCTGGTAGGAATCCTGTCATTTGTGTTCCACCACTGCCGCCTCTGTCAGCACCTGAGCGGCAAGAGAGAGCAGGGAGGTGATTCTGGGAAGGCTCTGTCCTGAGTGTCCAAGAGCCCTGCAGCTGAAAAGCCAAACTTGAGGCTTCAAGACCTTTTTGGTGTGGAGAACAGAAATGTACCTAACAGAACAGCAGCTCTGACGATGACACTAGCTGCTTGTCACAATGACAGCTGTAACATAGGAGCTCATTGGGCACCCAGCTAAGCCCTGCATGGGCATTAACTCTCAGTCCTCAGCACAGCAACTTGAAGCAAACACTAATTATCATCCCTGCTGTCAGCAGTGAAAACTTCACCACAGTGGTGAGGGCCTTGCCCTGGAGCACATACTCTGGGCCTGCTGGTTTCAGAGCTGGGGCTTTTCACTGATATTCTCTCACTGCCCTCCTTACAAGGATGGTGTCTGTGTTTTCTGTGACTCAGGCTCATTGCCTTCCATTTTCCCAACCTGCTTCTCCCCGCCCCTTACAGACTTGTGACAGCAAACAGCCACAGCTGCGGGACTCCCCTCTGCCCCCCACCATGGCTTTTCATGTCCCAGATTCTCAGTGCTTCCTGCGCTCGCTGCTTTCATGGGCTTGGTACAGTGTGCTAAAATGCCCTGTCCTTGCATCTGCACTCCTGCTTCATGACAGTGAGCCCAGGGGGGCAAGTCTGCCTTGGCCCTCTTGCATACTCAGTACCCCACAGAGGGGCTTGGAAATATTTACTTGGAAGTATTCCCTGGAAGGAGAGGAAGTCTCCCTCTTCTCTTTCTCTGGCAGTGAGATTGGGTTAGACTCTGTTGCCTGTGTGTTTTCTGTGTGGCCTATAATGCTGTCCCCAAGACCCTGCTTGCCCCTCTACCACCTAGGAGCTTGCTGTCCCTGCCTTTCCCTGTTGGGGCTGAACAGGGGGGCTAACAGGCTTGGTGTTGCTTTCAGGTGGCAGTGCCTGGGGCGGTGCTGGCTACCCCCCGCCCAGCATGCCCCCTATTGGGCTGGATAACGTGGCCAACTACGCAGGGCAGTTCAACCAGGACTACCTCTCAGGAATGGTGAGTCCCGCCCTCCTGCTGGGCTGCCCTTGGGCCCACTCCTGCATGGCCAGAGGTATAGGCTGCTAGCTTCCCTGGTGTCGGGGAAGGCGGGGGGGGGGTGGGTGGGTGTGTGTGTGTGTGTGTGTGTGTGTGTGTGTGTGAGACCTGTGAGTGCTGAGTGTATTGAGGGGCATCTCAGAACGTATAGGTTTTTTCCAGGGCTCTCACCTGCTCACTCTTCCTCTCTACATCTCCATTTGCCCAGCTGTAAAATCAGGGATGAGGAATGCATTGGGCACATAGTCTGTTAGGTCCTTTTTGGCTCTGTGGGATTGGGTAGGGTGGCGCCTTCATGGAATGAGTATCAAATGCCTTCCGTATGAGCTCAGAATAGGGACTGCAGGGAGGTGAGGGTGGGTAGGTGTATGCATGTCCATGTGCTGTGTACAAGTGGCCATCTGCGTGTCTGTGTGTGTGTACGTGTGGATGACTTCTGGTTGGGCCTGGGAGTGGCTGCCTGGTAGCATGGACAGACATGCTACTTTTAGTTGTTGATTTGCTTTTAAAATAGTAAATTTTATAATCTGAAAACAAATGTATGTTCAATGTAAACAGTGCAACCAGTAGACACTCTAATTTGTGCCGGCCCATTCTGGGTACTGGGGATATGTGAATAAAAAAGCCCACAGACTCAGCCCTGGAGTACTTACTACTCACTGGGAAGAGACAGGAAATTGCCATAGGTGAACCATGTGGTATTAGAGCAAGTGTGGGTGCTTTGAGTACAGGAGCTGGTTGGGGGGTCAGCAGCGCAGGTGGAATGCATGTAGGACAGTGTCAAGGTGCTGGGACCCTGCTGCGGGGGCTCAAGGTGGGGACGGACAGAGGCAAAGTCTCTCTCTTTCTCTGGCAGTGGGGTTGGGTTAGACTTTCTTGCCTGGGCATTTCCACGTGGTCTGTAATGCTGTCCCTGGGGGCCTGCTTGGCCTCATCACTAGCCTTAGGCTCTGCTTTGTGGACTTTCAGGCGGCCAACATGTCCGGGACATTCGGAGGAGCCAACATGCCAAACATGTACCCTGCGGCCCCTGGGGGTGGTTACCCTCCTATCCCCCCTGGGAGTTTTGGGCAGCCCCCTTCCACCCAGCAGCCTGTTCCTCCGTATGGAATGTACCCGCCCCCTGGAGGAAACCCACCATCTGGGATGCCCTCCTACCCGCCATACCCAGGGGCCCCTGTGCCAGGCCAGCCAATGCCGCCTCCTGGACAGCAGCCCCCAGCAGCCTACCCTGGGCAGCCGCCAATGACCTACCCTGGGCAGCCACCAATGCCACCTTCTGGGCAGCAGCAGCAGCCTATGCCAACCTACCCAGGGTACCAAGGGTCTGGGACCGTCACCCCTGCTGTACCTCCAGCCCAGGTAAGTGCCAGCCCTGTGCTACCTTCAGTCGCAGTCTGGCTCCAGAGGCCCAAGACATGTGGTCAAGTGTCCTCTGCTAGCAAGGCAGGCGAGGGCCCGGGGTGGGGCAGGCCCTCAGTCCTCCAGCTAGAACTTGTTTTAACAGAAGTGTCAACTTCTTGTAGCCTCCGTAGCCCCAGTGTGTGGTTGCGTGTGTTCCTGAAGAGCTAGGGAGCTACCCCGTCTCTCCCAGTTTGGTTGTATGTTCTGTGTGCGAATTGGGTGTGGATGTTCCAGGGTGCTCTTCATTCCCCTGTGTTATTTATTTACTGCCTGGGCTCTGTGTTTTGTAAGAACTGCTCAGGTTGATAGGCCCATGGCTTTATGCTCCACAGCTCTCAGTCTTCAACTCCTGGATATGCCCACTGTCCAACTCCCAACTCATTTGAAAGGATTTGTAAAACCTTCTTTGGGTAGGGGAGATTGTTGGCTGTTCCTTTAAAGCTACTCTGGGCTCATTTTGGAGAGCAGTTCATGTTTGCAGTGCCTAGAATTCATTGTCATGGTTACATGGCCAAGCCAGCCAAGTACAAGGCTAGTGGTATGTGCTTGATGACTACTTTTAGACAGAGGGTCCCCTCACTTCCCTCCCCCCACACATTTCCCCACCCCTGCCCTGCTCTCCATCCTCCCACCCTTCCTTCCACCTCATCTTTTCTTTGAGTATATCTCCTAATTCTGTTAAAATCAGTTTGTATTAGCCACAGAAGATGATCCACCAAGAGACTGTTTAGACAAGGACATTCAAGTGTGCTGGGCAGCACATGTGTTGGTGATCAGGAAGAAGTGAGGCAGGCAGGCAGGTTGTAGAGTCTAGAAAACATTCCAGGAGACCAGTGCTGATCCAGGAGGTGGTCAGGCCACATGGATCATCATGAGGGTTGGACACCCACATCCCCCCAGAGGAGTCACCCTTATCTAATTTGCACAGAGGTGCTCCGTGGACTAACCAGGCCTCACTGGGAGGGCCCTGCTGTGTGCTCATGTGTGCTTTGGTGGTAAGGTGTCAAGAAGCCACTGGTTCCTGCACCTGAGGCCTCTTCTTCAGCTGCAACCCAGGCCAGCCCTGGAGGACCTGGGAGTAGGGCAGATTTTTCAGCATCAGGACTCAGCGGTAGATGGGCGGGCTACTAGCCATGGGAACCAGACTGAGGCTTCAGTACCAGGACACAGGACAGATAGTGGCCACATTAGGGCCACTCAGTGTGGATTCCTTTGTGCTATTAATTGTGAACTCCTTCAGGTACCCCATCTTTTAGAGAAAAGGTTATTCCCAGAGTCTGGGGTGGGGAAGTCGTCTTGCATCTGTGGGATGCGACATCTCACCTAAGTCTGTTTGAGCAGTTTGGAACGCGAGGCACCATCACAGATGCTCCTGGCTTTGACCCCTTGAGAGATGCCGAGGTCCTGCGAAAGGCGATGAAAGGCTTTGGTGAGAAGTCCTGGTGGCTCACATGCTCACTGCCCTGCACCCCCACCCACTTCCCAAGGCAGTTACCCCGTAGCTCTGTGGGCTGGGGTCGCTGGTGGTAGTGGAGAGAAGATGGATGTGAGGGTGCAGTTGGGGTGCCCAGAAGAACGGGAGGACCCATGCCTGGGAGTCTCCAGCTGCAGATGATCCCCACTACCCCCAGCCCTGCCCACTCTCGCCTCTTCTTCCTCCAGGGACTGACGAGCAGGCCATCATTGACTGCCTGGGGAGTCGCTCCAACAAGCAGCGGCAGCAGATCCTCCTGTCCTTTAAGACAGCTTATGGGAAGGTGAGTGTGTGTAGGGGACGTGTACAGGGAGACCGTGTCCCTCCTGAGTCAAGGCATGTCCTCCAGCATAGCCCTACTCACCCCTGCTTTTCCTTGGGGCTGAGTAGGCCTCGATCTCCTGCATGGACAGTAAGACATGTTAGGGTATTTCCTGTTGCTCACCCAGCCAGTGGGCTCTCAACTGATGGCATCTTCTAGGTGTGAATGATGCTCTGAGGGAGAAACTTGGAGTTCATAGGGCACTGAGATTTGATGAGAGGTACCCAGGAGGGCAGGGACAGAAGCCAGGGTTCCCAGGAGGGGACGCAGGCCAGGTGGGAGTGGAGATGAAATAAGTTGCCCGGGGTCTTGGTGAATCATGGTAGAGCCAGGCTGAGAACCCTGGCTTCTGTCCCTGCCCTCCTCACAGCCACCCTGGGAGGTCTAGCTGATAGCAGGGCTTTGAAGACAAAGGCTTTCAGTACTGAATAAATGCGTGGGGTATATTTTGAACTTTTGGGCTTTTGAATCTTAGAAAGGTAAAACCTGAGTAAATATTGAATAGGCTAGTGTTCTAGCCTATTCCTTCTCCAGCATTAATGTGCCTCAGATACCCTGGGGATTGGGGTCAAATGCAGGCTTTGATTCTGCAGGTCTGAGCTGGGGATGGAGATCTGGCTTTTCTTTTTCTTTCTTTTTTTTTATGCTCCCAGTCCTCAGATCTCTGATTCTCTTCCTTCTGTGGATTCTGTAAATAGGGTTGTGTTCTTTTTTGTTTGTTTGTTTGAATATCCAATCAGGATTTGATCAAAGATCTGAAATCCGAACTGTCAGGAAACTTTGAGAAGACTATCTTGGCTATGATGAAGACCCCAGTCCTCTTCGATGCTTATGAGATAAGAGAAGCCATCAAGGTATGTATGCGTATGTGTGAGTTCATGTGCGTGGACACAGCCCATGGGAAGACCTGAACTGTGTAGTGTGTGTTTTAGCCCATTCACTAGCTACTGTTGTCATTTCGACTCTTACGCCCCCTTGGCTGGAGTCCAAGTGCTGTAGAAAGGGGAATTTCAGTAACTTCCTCAAGAGGAAAATGAAGTGCCTGTCATTGTCAGGAAACATCTAAGTCTCTCTCTTATCTTTTTCTTTTTTTAAAGATTTTATTTGTTTAGTTTTAGACAGAGGGGAAGAGAGGGAGAAAGGGAGGGAGAGAAACATCAATGTGTGGTTTGCCTTTCATACACCTGCTACTGGGGACCTGGCCTGCAACCCAGGTATGTGCCCTGACTGGGAATCAAACCGGTGACCCTTTGGTTCTCAGGCCAGTGCTCAGTCCACTGAGCCACACCAGCCAGGGCCTCTCTCCATCTTAAAAACATGGTGGGAGCTGGGGTTGTAGCGGGGTATGAGGCATGGGTGGGGACATCCTCATTCATTAGGACTCATTATTATTAACATTATTGTTTTAGTTAAATGATTTTAGATGGGGAGCAAGAGAGGGAGAGAAACATCAATTTATTGCTCCACTCATTGATGCATTCTTTAGTTGCATCTTGTATGTGCTCTGCCTGGTGATCGAACCTGCATCCTTGGCACATTGGGATGATGCTCTCACCAACGGAGCTACTCTGCCAGGGCAGGGCTCTATTATTAGCAAATAACAGAAATACCCTTGAGGACTTAAAGCAGAACAAAGTGGAGATTCAGTTATGAGGATAGTGACAAGCACCCTGTCATGGAGAAAGAGGGGACCAGATGTCACAAGCAGGCACCCAGGCAAGGTTTCTCTAGTCTCTGCTTCTTGGGTCCACCTTACTCTTCATCTGCTTCCCTGCTTCTTCTTCCATGTCTGGTTGGCAGAAGATCCCTGTCTGTTTACCCATCAGAGATCCAGGCACAGGAGAGACCAGCTGCCCCTGAATCCAGATTCCAAATAGAGTGCACATTGTGATCGGCTGAGTTTGGTTTAGTATGTGCCCCCAGTGCCTCAGTCATGACCAAACTCAGGGTCTTCTACATTCCATACACTCCTGGGGTTCCCACTTCCACAGCAGGAATCCTGTGGATGGGGAGGGGCAGTCCCACAGAAGGAGAAGCTTTGTGAATAGAACAGGTGCTTCAGAAGGAATCTAACATTTCCTCAGTGGTGGAGAGGCACAATGACGCTTCCTGCCCCCAAGAGGAGAGGTAGAGAATTAAGCGTGGAACCAGGAAGGGAGACAAGACTCTCCTGAAACACCTTACGTCAGGAGTCCCCAACCACTGTCTGTGGCCTGTTAGGAACTGGGACTCAAGCAAAGCTCCGCCCTGCCTCCCCGACTCCCGCGCCTCCCCTCCCAGCCCCCATCCACAGAGGGTGAGGGAAGCTCATCTGAGCTCTGCCCCTGCCTCCTGTTGCCCTCTGCCCCCATCCACAGTGGGTGAGAAAGGGAAGCTCACCTGAGCTCTACCTCCTGTGCCCTCCCAACTCTCCTGTCTTTCAGGAAACTGGTCCCTGCTGCAAACAAGGTTGGGGACCACTGCCCTATAGTGTAGGGCCTACATGCTTTTTTCTATAGAGGGCTTCAGGAGGCAGTTGGGGAGGGCACCTGGGAGTGGCCCCTAGCTCTCTGCCCAGCCCCTGCTCCCAGCCATTTATGAGGTGACAGTGGTTTTGGGGTGCTGGAAACAGCACAATCTGGGGTCAGCTGTCACTGAGCAGCTGTGTGTCCTTGAACACCCATAAAATGGGAATGTGGTTGCTCTCTCAAGACATGTGGTGAGCACTGAGCTAGAGGCTAACGGAAGTGCTTGGTGAACTCTTGAGTCATCTATCATAGCAGTAAACATGAAATAGTTAAGCCTTTGATGTGCCTCCTGTATGACAGGCACTGTTCTGGGTGCTTAACTTGTGTAACTCATTTAATCATCGTGACTTTCCTATGAGACGGGTACCAGCATCACCCCCATCTTACGGACAGGTAAGCTGAGGCACAGAGGTTAAGTAATGTGTGCAAGGTTACACAACTAGTCAGCAGCAGAGCTGAGATTCAAACTGACAGAAGCCAGGCTGGTGACCTTGCCCTCCACCTTCCCACTGTCCCTGGCATGGTTCTCCCTTGTCCTCACTGTTGCTGCCTTTTCCTGGGTGTCTCCAGATGCTCTACAGTCTTCGCTAAGACTCATCTTTCCACATGTCCGTGCTTGCTTTAAACCCATTTTCTCAGCCCATTTCATTATAGGCTGAACTTGGAATAAAACAGTTCTGGGTCCACATTTCAACCCCCTGCTTACTGTGTGGCCTTGGACAAGTCACTACACCTCTCTGATTCTCAGTTTCCCAGTGGGTAGAATGGGGATGATCCTTCTCTCGATCTCTGTCATTATCTGGTACTTTCCTGGGGGCTGTGGAAGACAACTTGGCTGCTTGCAGCCGGATAGCAGCCCAGTGGCTCCTAGTGGCCTGTTGCTGGGATTTGTTCTTTGGGGAGGAGGGTAGTGGGATGGCACCTGTTGTCTTTCCTGGGTGCCAGTGAGGGAGCTGTAACAAGTCTGTGGTTTGTTTTGTTCTCTGCAGGGGGCCGGCACTGATGAAGCCTGCCTCATTGAGATCCTCGCCTCCCGTAGCAATGAGCACATCCGGGAACTGAGCAGAACCTACCAAACAGGTTAGGCTGCCCTACGTCCTTTGTCCCCTGCTCTGTCCCCTGCTGGATCCCTGTTGTGTTCAGGGCCTTGGCCACTCCCTCTCCCAGGGCCTGTATTACTTCCTGGTATGCTTATCACCTCATCTACCACAAGCAATACATGGGGCTTTGATCCAAGACCTAACCCTGCCTGCTGTTTGTGCACAGGACAGGCGACTAAAGTAAGGGAGGGTGGAGGAGAACCTTGTGGTTGAGGCCAAGCCTAAGGAGAGGCCAGGACCACCTGGAGTTCACAGCCCCTCCTGGATTTCCATTTGTGTGTTCCTGGAGAGCCTTGTGGGCCACCTGCCTCCTGGAGCCCAGGACTCCCAGGCCCGTCTCAGTGCCCACTGTTGACTGTGTCTGCAGTGGGCAGCTTCGTCCACGGGGATACAAGGTAGGCCTTCCCTGTGTTTCCCAGAATTCAAAAAGACCTTGGAGGAGGCCATTCGAAGCGACACATCAGGACACTTCCAGCGGCTCCTCATCTCTCTGTCTCAGGTACCTTTCCCACGACAGCTCAGAACCAGAGCTCAGAGTGGAGAGAAGGGCATCCCTGAGCAAGGAGGAAAAGGAATGGGGAGGGAGGGGTGCAACTGCAGGGAGTGGTCTTTACCATACAGACTGTTTCCATTCAGGGAAACCGGAATGAAAGCACAAATGTGGACATGTCGCTGGTTCAGAGGGATGTTCAGGTGAGTGTCATGGCCAGATCAGGCACCCTGCCTGGGCTTCCTAAGGTGGTGGGAGTGCCCCACTTTCTTGATGAAAGAGGAGCTCTAGGATGGGAAGAGAACTGATAAAGAGTGGGTTACAGATGCTGTGACTTTCAGAACAGCTCTGCTACTTATCAACTGTGTGGCCTGGAGCAGGTCACCCAGCCTCTGGGCTTCAGTTCGCCTACCTGTAAGATGGAACATACGTGATAACTCTCACAGCAGTTGGTAGATCACAGTTACGAACGTGGGACTTAATGTGACTTGTATTTCGTCTGTTTGGATACATATGCCATTACATTTGCACATGGACAGAACTCACACTTCCTTGTGAAGCTTTTGAAAGTTTGAGCATAGAAACCATCTTTCACATTCGTTGTACAGCCTTAGAATTCCACCCTGTCCCCAGCGTGTTGTGACTGCAGACAAAAATGGAAAAGTCATCATTTCCTCTCTTTGTCCAGGCATCTGAGTGTCCCTTCTAGAGGAGTTTGGGTTTCCCACTAATGAATTCAGACCATCGAAGTTTTGGAGAGAGCCACAGCTTTCTGGTGGGATCGAGCTGGCCATACCTCTCTCCCTCGTCATTGCTCCTGCCCCCACCCCAAACCCTCAACAGAGCTTCCCAGGAACTGCCCGTGGTCTCCTTATCTCTCCCATCTGTCATGTTGAAGAGGACCTCTGTGGAATGCCCTCTTGTTAGGGTTGGAAGAGAGCCACTCTTATGATCTGGTCCATTTTGTTTTCCAGATAGGGAAACTGAGGCTCAGAAAGGTTGAGCATTGTGCCCAGGGAAATCTGGGGGCAGGGCCTGGACACGGGCCCAGACTCCTGGCTCAGTTCTCTGCAGGGAGCACACAGACCCCACCGGGTCCCCCCAAGATGCCCTCCTGCAGGGTCTCTGCCTTCACATCTCCCTGGCTTGAGACATCCATTCCCATCTCTAGACTCAACTGGACAATTTCAAAGCTCCCGGGCTCTGGCTCTGACCTCAGTGGGAATATTCCTATTCCTATTTTCCTATTTCCTGTCTTGGCCATTCTCCAGCTGATGGCTAAAGTTGTCTCCGTCTCAAGGTCTCATGCCTGCTGCTCTGCCTTCATAGTTCTGGACCTGCTCCTGCCTCACCTTGACCTGTGGGATTTCTGAGCCCCTGATGGCCACCCTCTTCCTCTGGGTATTGGTGCCTTTAGATCCAGAGCTGTTACCTGAGGCCAGGAGACACTTTCGAGTTACCTGTTACAGGGGTTGCAAATGGGCAAATATTTTGAGCTCACACTTTCAAAAGCCTTAACAGATAAATGCAAGTTCTGCCCATTTGTAAACATAATAGTATATACACCCAAACAGGAAAAGTTTGGGTGTATCCTATCATGTGAAATCCCACATCTGTAACTGATTTATCAGTTATAATATTTATTGTCTTGCATGTTCACCCTTATAGATGGGGAAGCTGCTTCTAAAGATTGGGGAACTTTACATAGAAACCAGGATTTCTGGCTATTTATGCAAAATGGATCTAGCACTTGTGCGCCTGAATTTCTCTGTCATTGTCTCAGCAGATGCTGGGAAGTAACCACCCCTCTGTGTGGTTAGCCTTGGTTCCCAGCACTCTCTGGCCCTACAACTAGCCTGTTTTCCTCAGGTTACCCAGCTGGCCCCTTTGTGTTTTCAGCTCTGACTGCCGAATCTAATCTCACCTTTACATTGTAGAGACAAGGGAACAGGACTCAAAGAGGGCCAGAGTCTCATGGCAAGTTGGCTCTAGAGCTAGCACTCAGACCCATGCCGGTCATTGCCATTTTTTCCCTTGGTACTGCTGCTCCCTTCATTGGGTTAAAGCTGTCCCTTGCCTATCCTGGGCTCTTGCCAGGCTCAGTTTTCCAGGTTCTGAGTTCTTGCCAGCTTCAGAATCCTTTGTGTTGCTCAGTAAGGGGATGTATGGGCAGATGGTGTCTAGTTCCGCACAGTGAATGGAGCACAGCCGGGGCACTGCTCCTGTTTCCTTCCCCTCTGGGCCTGCAGGGCCCAGCATCTCTGCCCAGTTCTCATAGGTGGCCTGAGCCTGGTGCCTGGGGTGAGGCCTGCATTGTGTGCCTGTCTTCCCCTCTGCCCAGGAGCTGTACGCAGCTGGGGAGAACCGCCTGGGAACAGATGAGTCCAAGTTCAATGCAATCCTGTGCTCCCGGAGCCGGACCCACCTGGTGGCAGGTAAGGCAATCCCAGGCCCCCCTGGGGCCAGGTAGTGAGGGTAGACAAGGTTATGACAGGCAAACAGAGCTTTCAGGAACACTTAGCAGTTCCTTTCTGCATGGGGCTTTTGTTTGCTGGTAGTAAAGGGTAAAGGAGGTCAAATATATGTGATAGAAGATGATTTGACTTTGGGTGGTGGGCACACAATGCAATATGAAGATCATGTATCATAGAAATATACTTTTGAAACTTATATAATTTTCTTAACCAGTGTCATCCCAATAAATTTAATAAAAAGGAAAAAGATATCAGTCCTGCATGTACAAAACTCAGGATGGCCCACACTATGGAACCATTGGCAAAGAATATTTTTAAAGGACTTTTAGTAACTGAATTTGTGGGTATTTGGGGAGCATATATCTTTTTTAATAAGATGAACATAAGCCAAGATTTCAGGCAAACAATGAGCAAGAAATTTCCCCTCATTCTAGAAGTTTATTACAAATCTATTCAGACATCCTGTCTGGCTCTATGTGACTGTGGTTAGGCGGTCTCAGGAAAACAGGTTTGTAAGATATCTGGGGATTGTGAGTCAGTGATGCTATCTTTAAAAAAATTTTTTTTAAATCTTCACCCAAGGATATGTCTTTATTGATTTTAGAGAGGGGGAGAGAGAGAGAGATAGGGAGAGAGGGAGAGAGAGAAAGAAATATTGATGTGATAGAGAAACATTGTTTGGTTGCCTTCCATATGCACCCCGACTGAGGATTGAACCCTCAACTTAGATATGTACCCTGACTGGGAATGGAGTCTATGCCCTTCTGGTACACGGGACCACACCCCAACCAACTGAGCCACCCAGCCAGGGTGGTGACATTATCTTAAGAGCAAGAAGAAAAGAACAGAGCTACACATGCTTAGCAGGCTATATTATTCTGTTGTCTTAAGCAGAGCGTGTTCTCTGAAACTTGCTTCATAGGCAAGTCTACAGGCCTCAGGACAACATTATATTCTAGTGCAGCTATGAATCTTAAGAGGGGTAATTTATACTTACCTGGCTGGGGAGATGCCATGATCACGAAGGTGGTTTTCCCAGGGCGAGGCTTCGCCATTGCCCTCCGGATGTGCTGGCCCCTGCAATTTCCCCAAATGTGGGAAACTCAAGTGCACAGTTTGTGATAATGGGGGACTGTGTTTGTGCTCTTCCCTTTAAAAAAAAAAAAAGTCTGGTGTTCTGGAATGTATGGAATCAGAGAGCAAGATCAGAAAGAACGCTGGAACAATAAAAGAAATTTGGCCACCAATCAAGGTTTACCCTATTTTATGGTATCAGGCAAGATTAAAATGCCGAAGTGGACATGGGTGAATTTTGGGATATTTAAGGCAAAATGTAAACTCTACTTAAGCCAGAGTTTTACTCTTTGGACTAACTGTGAACACATTGGTGGTAGGTATGCTTATTAAATTATAAAATTCTGTTTTTACTACTTAAAGTGGTTCTCCTTTAAAAAGGAAAACAAACCTCACCTATAATTCTGAATATAAACTTTTTTTATTGCTTCTCGGCCTTTTGGCTAAGATCAAGTGTAGTATCTGAATATAAACTTTTCAAAATAGATAAAATACGAACATCTTTTTAAAATATTTATTAAATTTTTCACACATTTAAAATCCCAGTAAAAAATAGAAATACTGCTTTTATCCATTTCCTGAAATAGCATTGCCCAAACTCTTTACATCTTTGACATCGATGTTTCTGGCACTAGTAGAGCAACTATTTATTTAATTATTATTCTTTTAAATCCTCAGCCAAGGATATGCTTATTGATTTTATAGAGAAGGAGAGGGAGAGAGAAAGAAACATCAGTGTGAGAGACAAACATTGATTGATTGCCTCGTATGTATCCTCACTAGGAGCTGAACCTGCAAATTAAGTATGTGCCCTGCCTGAGAATTGAACCCATGACCTTTAGGTCTGGTAAGGGGCTAGAGCTGCTTTTTAAAAACAGCTTAACTAAGGAATAAAAATTTTCCATAAAACTCTAAAAAAAAACAACCCCAAAATGTACCAACATGTTTCCTGCATTTCTGCAAACATCAGTTCTGGAGGAAGGCAAAGGAAGAGATGAGGGAAATGTCCGCCCCCGCGCTGGTTGATACCTGTATGCTAAAATGTGGAATGTTAGACTTGAGAGAGCCATCAAGAGCACCTAATCCAATATTTTCCAAAGTGTGGCATAGAAAAGCATAACAATGAATAAATACTAAGTAACTTTCATTCATTCACAGATATATAAATTGAGCTCCTGCCTTGTGCCAGGTCATGGAGTCAGGGTGGGAAGCAATAGGAAACAGCACTGCATAAGCTCTGTTCTCGTGTGCTTCACATTCTTGTTTGGGGATACAGGCAGTAAAACAAAATTAAGTAAAATCTATACCAGATGGCAAGTCATTTAGATCAAAATAACAAAGTTGGAAACAGAAATATGAGTGATGAGGGTTGGGGGGGTGCTTGGGGCAGTTCTCACTGAGGCGGCGGCAAGTGAGTTAACAACATGAAGGTGTTGTAGGTGGAGGGGGCTCCTGGCACAACTGAGAAACAGTGAGGGGGCTGGTGAGGCCAGAGCAGGTGGAGTGAGTGAGAGTGTTCAGATCAGAGATGGCCAGAGATTCTGCTGACAATTGCATGGACTTAGGTTTCTATCCTGAGTGAACAGGAAGCCTTTGAGGACTCTTGAGTGGAAGAGGATGTGATTTAGGTTTTGGAAGTTCACTGGCTGTTGTGTTGAGAAGAGTGAAGGGGCCAATGGCAGAGCAGGACGCCAGCTAGGAGGCTGCTGCAGTATCCAGAGGAGAAATACTCGTATCTTGGACCAGGTGGCAGGGGCAAAAGGTGAGAAGGGGTCAGCTTCTGGCCTTGTTTGCCAATGGCTTGGACATGGAGTATGTGTAAGAAAGCACTCAGGGATGTGATAAAAGCATTTCTTCTGACTGAGTCAGAGAAAGAATGTGCTTAGGAAGCTGTGGACAGAGCAGACCTTATGAGGGAAGGAAGTGGGAGCCTAAAGCTAGAGATACCATTTAGAAAATTAGACTTACAAGTCAGGAGGTCAGGAGAGGTCTGCGCTAGAGATGGAAGTTTGGGAGCAATGAATGGGTGGGTCAAAGGCGTTTGAGGTTCTGGGACTGCAAGAGACCCACTCAGGAGAGAGACTGGAGAGAGACAAGTAGTCTGAGGACAGAACCCTTGCCATAGCAGGAGACTAAGAAGAAACACCCAGAGAAAGAGGAGTGTATTATGTAAGGACAGGTGAGGACTAGAATGAGGACCATACTTGGCAACTTGGTGGGTGGCCTGCATGAAAATCCAGGTCCCTACTTGTACATGCACTAAGTCTTACAGTGCACACAAGTAAGTGCTGTTGTTCACTCACTTTATAGATGAGGAAGCCAGGCACAGGGCAAATGGGGAAGTTAGGTCACCCAGCTGGGAACCTGGCAGAGACTGGATTCGAACTCAGGGCATCTAGCTCCAGAGTGTACTTTTTAACCTCTGCACTAGAGCGTGAGTGAAGATATTTTCATCTTAGTCATGTAAATAGCATTTAAAACCCTGGTTTCACAAAAGTTATTACATAGGAGAAAAGAAGAGGTGATCTAAAAAGAATATTAAGTAATGAAGACAGATACAGCAGAAATCACCACATTGAAATACAAATGACAGAAGTTTGGGGAACAGTGATAGAAACAGACCTGGGCTGGGGGAGGAGGGATTTATATCCAAGGTTAGAGCTGGAGTTAGGACCCAGGGCTGCACGGTGCCACCTGCCTCTCTAATAACTGAGTCACTTCTTGTGGGTGCTCAGCTCATCCTAGGGTGAGTTGGTGAGCTGGATAGGTGTTAGCTCACAGTCAGATTGAGACAAAATTGACGCACGGAATAATGGAGAAAGAATGGAATGGACTGGAAGTGCAGGGTTTCCGAAGAGAGGGATCTCTTTGTTGTGTTTTGGTGGGGGGTCCTGGGTGGCATCTTAGGTGCAGTTTGGGTAAGCGGCCTGGTGAGGGCAGTCCTGGCCGTGGGACTGCATGAGCAGGCGCGGGGGCGGGGCGCACACAGCTTGGGTAAAGCGACTGGCTGACCTGAAAGCTAGACAGGTGTGGTCACTGGGGCCATACAGATGCCAGGAGCAGAGGGAGAGGTGGCTCGGAAAGGGACAGAGCTTGCTCACCGTGTATCCTGTGTTAGTTTACTCTGACTACCATAATAAACACCACAGGCCAAGTGACTTCAACAACATGAATTTATGTTCTCATGGTTCTGGAAACTATCAGTCCAAGATCAAGGTGTCAGCACATTTACTTTCCTCAGAGTCCACTCTCCTTGGCTTTCAGGTGGCCACTTTTTTGCTGCGTCCTCACATGACCTTTCCTCTGCATGTGTGTCCCTGGTGTTTCCTTGTGTGTCCAAATTTCTCCTAAAGACACCAGTCAGATGAGATTAGAGCCCACGCTAAGGTCCTCGTTTCAAATTAATTACCTCTTTAAAGCTAATTAGACATCTCCAAATACAGTCACATTCTGAGATACTGGGGGCTGGAACTTCAACATAAGAATTTAGGGGGGAGGTGACAGAATTCAGCCATTACAAGTCTCTTCTCTCTTCTGCTAGTTTTCAACGAGTATCAGCGAATGACAGGTCGAGACATTGAGAAGAGCATCTGTCGGGAGATGTCTGGGGACCTGGAGCAGGGCATGCTGGCCGTGGGTAAGTGTCCTGTGCCTGCCTTGTCCACTGCCTGCCTGCTGGAACTGATTTGTACTGTCAGTGTTCAGAGTGCTCACCATCCTCTGGTTGCGGGGCAGGCAGTGCAGTAAAAGAACCACAGGGTCCAAGATTGCTAAATCCAGCGTGCCTACGTGGTGGGAAATCACACTGCTTCCCGTATCACTGCGTGGTTGTACTCCCAACCATCCTGGAGGTGTCTTGTTTCTATTTCCAGTGAAACTCTGGGAAGGGAGCTGCACTGTGGGTATTAGTGGGAGAGCAACCAACTGCCCTGCTGGAGGAGATGACTCATATCCTGCCAAGTTTCCTCTAAAAATACATCCCTGCAGGCAGTTGTCAGATGTTTGTGATGGAAACACATGGTTGCAACAGCAACACACGCCTTGCTAAAGGAAAGCTGGCCCAGCTCCCAGGAAGATGGTGTGCTTCTTGCAGGCCCATGCCCTGCCCTTTAAAGCAAGGGCTCTAGGTCCCGCCCCACTAGGGGTTGGCCCTTCTTTAAACCCTCTTGGGAAACTCATGGTTTGCCCATCTTTTGCTTTGCTTTCCTTGGAGCTTTCTGATGGAAGACATGACGAATCCTCGCTTCCCTGCATGTCCCCCATGGTAGGTTTCATGGTCTGAGCACACTAGGGAGACATTCACCTGCTCAGCCATCCTTTCTCCATGAGGTTCACAGCATCTCCAGTTCAGCCCCTCCTGCTTGAGCAGCAACACGGCGCCTCATCATCAGCCTGTTTGTTCCCTGCACAGCCCCTTTCACCATGTTGGTTGCCAGGAAAGAAGTTGGGCCGTTGTCCAGGCTCTGCATGTTTCTATGCTGAAGAACTGGAGCTGAGACCGTAGATAATTGATTGAGCCTCAAGGAGAAGGGGGAGACGAAGATGGCCTCCTAAGAGGACACTGTGTACTCTGTGCCCCCTGACTGGGAGTTCCCTGCAGATGGAGTTATACTGTGTTTTTCTCTTCTAGTGAAATGTCTCAAGAATACCCCTGCCTTCTTTGCTGAAAGGCTCAACAAGGCCATGAGGGTACGCAACATCCACGTGGAGGGTCTGGGTAGGGGAGGGTGTCAGCTCCACTTGTGCCTGGGACCAAGGGCTCAGAATTGGAGGCCTGGGGAGAGCCATACCTCAGCCAAGAGGACAGAGGGCCCATGGACAGGAGGGGACTAGAGTGCTGGGGAAGCTGGGATGGTGAAGAGGCCTGTTGTTCACACCCTTGGTGGACACTCTTTAGGGAGCAGGAACAAAGGACCGGACCCTGATTCGCATCATGGTGTCTCGTAGCGAGACTGACCTCCTGGACATCAGGATGGAGTACAAGCGGCTGTACGGCAAGTCGCTGTATCATGACATCACGGTACGGGCCTCTGGGGGTGACGGGGCTGCCTGTGAACCCCCTGGTCACCTCCTGCTGTCTCCTTTATCTCCCCTGTGGAACTCCCACGGCTCAGCCTTCTCAGTGCATGGGTGTCTTGTTTGTGGACCTTGTGCTTTCTCTTTTCAACTTTTACTACTTCATCCAGTTGCCCCCAAACAGATTGTAAGCTCCTTGGGACCGGCGGGGGGTCTTCATCCTACTGCCACCCCGACCTTGTATCCTCAGCATGCAGCACAGCTGCTGCTCAGAAAATGAATGGGGGCGGGGAGGGGTTCCTAACATTGGTGTCAGAGAAAATGCAGGACCGGCCACCCGGTGATTCTGTTACCGTCAGTGACACTCGTGCCCAACACCTCTGGGATTGATGCCTGACTCACTAGGAGTTGCTTTATGGTGGAGGCAGTGAGGAAGGCAGTTCTGGGTGAGGGTTCTGGGGTTGGGTCATGGTGCTTGGAACCTAGTTCTGCTTGTTGGAGATCTGTGTGATCTTGAGCAGATATCTTAAACCTCCCTAAATCCCATTTCCCTGACCCTAAAGGGTAGGATAATGATAGGTCCCTGAGGACTGTTGAATCTTGAGTCATGTGGTACGAGTCAAGCACATTGAGTGAGACGTGTAAGTGTCTGTCTAACACCAGCAACTCTTATCACTGTGTGCTGGAGCCAGTGTGACAAAATGTATTCCTGTCTGGGTGATCTGAAAGTTAAATTCTGAACTCACATGAACCTTGCAACTGAAGTCACCACGACCAAGTCCTGATTTCAAACTCACTAGCATTTGATATTGAGCATGTCACTGAGAGAAGCTAACCTCCATTGCCCTGGCTATAAAAATGATGCTATTGGTAGAAAAGAATTAGTAACTAGCTATAAAGTATTATTTTCTGTGTGTTAGTGGGCTTTGGGCATCTGGAAGAAGCCATGGGCCTTGACCTCAAGGAAGGAAATGATTAGAAATTAGCGTAGCATGGTCTGTACTTCTGAAGTCAGTACCATGGGCTCAGGTGGAGGAGGCAGCAGTGTGGACTGGGATGCCCACATAGTAACAGTGCCTCCCACTCTTACTATGTGGGCATCCCAGTTCAGTTCATTGCGTTTCCTGAGTGGGCCACACTAATCCCAACTGAGTGCAACCAAAATGCCCCAGGAAGTGCCACCCTTAGTTAGCCTTGAGTGGTGGTGTGTTTTGACTGTTTAAATTTTTTGTGTGTGTTGAATTTCAAATTTCGACTTTGATATTAGGGTGATTGTAGCTTTCTGTTTTTTAAAGGGGGGTCGGGGAGGCTAAACTGCCTGTGCTGCCTAGTGTGTGAGTCTCAACTGCTCTGGGAACTGTGTGATGGGGGATGGGGCCTGCCGCTCTCTGTGAGGGCACATGGGGCACAAGAAAATGAGGAGCTAGGAGGTCAAAACTGGCCACACCTCCCTTAAGGATGTACTTGTTTCTGCGACCAGGGAGACACCTCGGGGGATTACCGGAAGATTCTGCTGAAGATCTGTGGTGGCAACGACTGAGCGGTGACTGATGGTTTACTTCTGTCCACCTGCCAGCAACAGTGATGCCAGGAAAAGGCCTAAAAAATGTCTGTCTTTTTCTAGCAAACCCACAATGTGTAGCCCCTTAGGTGTCCCAGTGCCGACAATCGTAGAGCCTTGGCCCTGTCCTCCACTTGCCCCTCCTGATCGTACGTCGTGCTCGTGCCGAAGGGCCTGGGGTTGGTCTGGAACTCAGGATGCCTGTTCCTCCCACCCCTCACAGCCTCTTGCTGCTGAAGTAGCTGTTTTGTTTCCTGACTCAGGCAGTCATTCCATTTTGCTTGTAGCTGAGACATTCAGCTTCATTTTAGTTCTGTAATTTTAATGTTTATTTTGAGGCACTTTTTTTAATAGTCATTGCCAGACAGCTGCATACAAGTCTCTGCTGCCATACATACCCAGTCCCTGCTGTCACGTTGGGGAGCCCCATGGCTTCACTGAGGAGTAAAAGGGAAGACCTTTAAGGGTAATTGAATCTGGTGAGAATGTGTCATGAGCTTTGTTATTGCCAAAGTCACCGCTTTTTGGAAAAGAAAAAAAAAAAGGCCAGAAAGTCAGCTGTTCCTTCTTCCATGTAAAACCACAAAAACAAAGCCAGCTCCCTGCCAGTGACAGGGTTTCTGTAATTGAAACTGTGCCTTAAACATGAATGTTGATAGCCAAAAGCAGTTTATATATTAAAGCCAGCCAGTTCTGGAACATTCTGGAAATGTCTCCTTGGTGCCAGCTTGTTTTCTTCGGCTCCATGATTTTGCCATGTAGCCCAGGGTATCCAACCTTATTAGCCAGTGAAAATTTATGTGACTTTAAATAAAAACTTGAGCTCAGGAAGCCCTGAGCATAAGTAATTTTCAGGGACCCAGATTGTAAGGATATGAGAAAGGGATGCTTCTTGAAATCCATGCAGGAGCCAGACACTGATAAGGCGCAGGGATTTTGGTCACAAGTGGACAGTGAAGTCCACGGAGAGCAAGGTAGGAAGAGTGTGATCCTTCACTCGGGTCCTGGAGCAGAACACTGGTAGGAGGGTTTGGGCAGGAGTCCTGGGGTCAGCCTTACCGCCGGGCTCCAGAGAGGTGTGAGACCAGCACCTTCCCTGGGGACCCTTCAATCTGAAGGGGTGGTCCTGGTTGTGGTCCTGGCAGGCTCCTTGCCTCTCCGCCCCCCACTTGCCTCCCACACATTCCATACAATGGTCAATGGTATTAGGGGAGGGCAAGTCCAGAAGGGACAGAGTTTCTAGAAATCACTGTCGTGTCCAGAATCCAGAGCATGGCTTGCTGGTCAGGGGTCTTTGTTCACTCCTTTTCTGACCTCCTATGTGGAAAGTTTAGAAAGGAGAGAATCCAGAGGCTAGGCTGGAAGATCAACCTGAGGGCTCTGGCCAGGGGGCCCAGGAATGGTTTGTCCACAGAGCAGACATCTGCTTGGGGATATCTCCTCACTCCTCGCTGCCCCTTGGACATGGTGAGAGGAGAGGATAAACCAAGGGGCATGGAGCAACCTTTGGCTGGATACTAGCTTGGTCTACCTAGACCTGCCTTCCCCAGCCAGAGAAGACTGATGTGGGCGTTGGAATCGATGGCAAGCCCAACAAATCCTTTCATCTCTGCCTCAGTTTCCATGCCTGCAGCTTCCTGACCAAGACCCAGCATGCTTGGCTGAGGTGTTCTTCTCCTGCTGCTCCCTCCCTTGGATGCCAGGTGTGACCTGCTGGTGGGATGGACTGCTTGGCATTGCACAGCTCACCATGTACTCAGGCTGACCCCAGAGGCGTCCAGGGTTTTGCCAGGGCCTTGATTCAATCTGTTATAATATGACTGCAAATGTTTTATGACATTACTTTGCTCGGTTGTCTGCATCAGAGCTTTTAACCTGGTGCCGCGCAGGCACTGTCTAACCTGCACATGCATTTACTTTGGTCTCCAAAGAGTCTTTTTAGACATTTGAAATTGTTGCCAACATTTAAGCAATGAAAGATTTTATATTAAAAAAAAATGAAAACTCCTAGCTTCTCTTGAAAAAACAAAAATTCTGGCAATGCTGGCCCAGCATTCCTGCACAGCAGTTTCTGCTGGAGCCAAATTGCTGCTGCCCCTTTTAGGCATGTACTTTTCATTTGGCTACAGGTCCCACCACTCCCTAATGTGTTCCATCATCACGTGTGACCTATTTGGCCCTGTAGGCCTTTGAGTTTGAGACTCTGGTCTCTACACTTGGACCACCTGTGTTCATTCTGGTCCTGGTTCTCTCTGCCTTCCTGTACCTCTAGCTGCCTTCTTGGTCATGACCAGGGGGCCCACCCCATAGTAAGTATGGGCTGGAGGACAGTGAACTCCACAGATCTCTCCAGGGGCAAAGGAATCTACTGGCTTTTAAGGTCAGTAGGAGGTTATTAGCATTGTTGATTATATCCAGAACAAAAAAGATAGGGAGGGGGGACATTTGACCTTACAGGTCACCTTTCTGGGAGAGTACTACCCTGGGTCTTTTGCTGCCTTCTGAAGTTGATAGATACGGCCAGTCCATGGTACACATCTAATGTCACTCCTAGAACAGAGGGTGAGGCAGCAGATTAATTCAGCCCTTACTAAATTTCCAGCCACTGTGGGTCATTGGCAGGAACACTATATATTAGGGGTAGGACTGGGACTAAGATGAGGTGCAAAATTTAGGAAAGGAACCCAAGAATGCTCATGGGGATGTGGATGGGGAAATGGTCCTGAAGTCGTGATTCTTAAAACTTTATGTGACATAATAAATCACGTAGAGACACTAGTAACATTTGGGGGACGGGGGCGCGGGGGAATACCTTGTTACAGAGTCAGGGAGTCACTATGCTGTAATGAGATCCCATGGAGCTGAGGCTTGAACTGAAGATCACAAAGATAGAGGAAACCCGCCCCCCGCAAAAAACAAACAAACAGTAGGTTAGCCACCATTGTTAAGAAACACCATGAACTTCCATAGATAATACTTTGGCTCTGAGAATCAAATTCTGCCTCCACCATGGAAGCCCATTCAATATTTCCATGAAGCTGTAAGCAAGTTGGTACTGAGCACTTCAGATTAGAAACTAGAATGAAAAATGAGGCACAAAGGGAGGTAAAACTCCAGCTCTGTATTCACTACATTCTTAACCACAATAATCTTTAACAGTGCCTTCATTTATCAGGAAAGTGCAGAAACAATTTTGCCTCCATAAAAATGTGAGTTAGGGAGGTGGGGAATTAATCAGATGTTAGCTTTTTTAAACACTATTGATGATTTGTCTGAGACATGTGTTTCTATGACACTAAACGAGATGAAGGCAATAAAAACAAAACAAACCTTAGTGCACATGAGGGTCATCTGAGGAGCTTGTTAAAGATGCAGGTCCCTGGGCCCCACCCGCACAGGCTCTGAGCATACATGGGGGCCAGGAAACTGCATTTGTAATCTGCTTGCCTTGTAATTCTGGTGCTCATTTAAATACTTGTACACTGAGAGAACTGAGACATGGTGTTGACAGAGGGCAGGTGTGCAGGTGGCACGGTGTTTGGAATTCGGTCAGGTGATGAGAGATGGGAATGTCCCACTCCCCGTTTTGGGAAGTGGGATCTGAGAGGTGAACCTTTGCGGATACTCATGGTCCAAGCAACAGCTGGATGGCTGTACCATGTCCACTTTCTTGCTTTGGTAGGGATTTATAGTCCTAGTCTAAGACTTTGCCCCATCTCTACTGTGAGCTTCTTACTGCCCTGGCTGATAGGGCTGGAATCAGACCAAGAAACAAATCAACCTAATCCATTTGCCCAGGCAGATAACAGCTTAAGTTTTCACCCCACCACACCTGAAAACTCTTGCTACCTACCTATGTTCCTCTGGGAGACAGAGGTATCATTGCTGTTTTTCACTTGGCCACATAAAGTATACCTTCCTGGCAAAAGATTCAATCAGTCAAGCCCCCAGTTCTACAACAGGCTCTTAACTTCAGTCCTTGCTCCTTGGAAAGCTCTCCTTTGCCTAATACTGGGGTATACTCTGAACCTGGTTCCTTCCTAACAATCAAGAGTTGATCTAGTCCTAAAGTAAAAAGAGCAGTGGTCTGGGACTCAGGCATCCCTATTCTGATCTCAGATGAGCCACTGATTTACTCTGCGATCCTAGAAAAGTCACTTATCCTCTTTGGGCCTCTTGCCCCTTTGTAAAATGAAGAAAAGAGTAGTCAAAGCTTTCGAAGATTTATGTCAGCAAAAATGGTGGGGTAGGGAACTCCAAACGTCTAGGGCAAACAGGAGACAAATTAAAGAGCTTGGGAAGGAAAGACTGGAGATGAGATGCTTTAAGGAATAATGGTTTTGAAGAGTGTCCACGAATTCCTGAGAATCAAGAAAGACATGCACATGCCCAGGGCTGGGCACATGTTTAGAAAAGACTTGAGAAGGCCCTAAGCTCTCACCTCTGGCTGATCTTCAGGATCTGCACAATCAGGAAGTGAAGGCTAAGGCAGAGTCAGTTTATAACTGAGTGTCAGAAGATTTGCCCCAACACACACAAATCTGCAAAGACTGGGAGGTATGTTTCTTTCATTTCTACTTTTTTTTTTTTTTGGTTCCAGGAATTTAAAGAAATTTGTTGAATCAGTAGTGACAACTAAGCTAATTGAACAGAAACTTCAATGGCCACACCTGAAAGAGTGCAAACATTTAAAAAATTAGTTTTCTTAGGAAAGTCATTAACTGTAATGACTTTAACTATAGTAAATAAGCAGCAACAATGTATCCTACTGGGAGAGGAAGGAATCGGATTTATAGAAGTGTCACTTTATAATTTTCAAAATGCCCCGTTTTCAACAAAAGTTATGAGGCATGCAAAGAAACAAAGTATAGACGATATGCGGGGGAAAAAATTTGTTGGTACAAATATGAAAGCCCAGATATTGGATTTACTAAACAGACTTTAAATCAAATGCCCTTAAAAAGGTAAAGGAAACCATGAACAAAGAGATAAGGGAAACCAGAAGAATGATGTCTCAAGTAGCATAAATAAAGAGAAGGAAGAAAAGGAACCAAATAGAAATTCAAGAGCTGAAAACTACAGTAACAAATTCACTAGAGGGATTCAAGAGATTTGAGAAGGCAGGGGAAAAAATTGGAAAACTTCATGATCAGTTGAGATTTCCCAGGCTGATGAGCACTATCAAGTGTACCAACATAACAATGGGGAGTCAGGAGAGAAGAGAGAGCAGAAATATTTGAAGAAACAATGTCTGAAAACCAAATTTGATGAAAAACAATCTACACACCCAAGACTATACATTAAATATAAATGAGATAAATTCTCCAATTAAAAGGAAGAAATTGGCAAACAAAGGATATTAAATTATATCCTGATAGAAGGGTTAGTTTATCAAAACAGAACAATTCTAAACATATATGTCTTTAACAATAGAGACCCCAGAAATTTTGAAACAAAAACTGACAGAATTGAAGGGAATAATAGTTAAACAATTATAGTTGGAGACCTCAACATCCCACTTTGTCGACTGTATAAAACAATTAGACAAGATAAGCCAAGAAAACAAAACGTGAACAACACTATAAACCACTAGACCATATATGTGTGTGTATGCATATATATGTAGGACAGTTCGCCCAAACAACAGAATATACATATATACATTCTTCTTTAGTGCACAAGGAAAATTAACCAGCTAGACCACAAAATTAATTTTAGAAGATTGAAACCATACAGAGTATATTCTAGGACCACATGAAATGAAATTAGAAGTAAACACAGGTGGAAATTTGGAAACTAAATAATAAACTCTTGTTTGTTTTTATTATATTTTATCTTATTATATTTCATTCTGCTATATTCTGTTACAGTTGTCACAATTCCCTTTTTTCCTTTTGCCCCCACCTCCACCCAGCTCACCCCTCGCACACAGTCAACCCTCTCTCCATTGCCCATGACCGTGAGTCACTCATACATCTCTTTTAACTAGTC